CTCCTGTTCTTCCTCCTTTTACGAATCCTTCTTCTTTTTCTTCTACTTCTTCTTTCTCCTCGTGTCCCCCCTCTCCTCTCTCACCCTCACCCCTTCCAGACATTCACACAGATAGTTTATCTCCATAGTGGACATGCTTCTTTCTCCTCCCCTCAGCAGAAGGAGATTCATCAATGCCTCCCTCCTCGTCCCCACTAGCTTTCTCATATCATCATCTCCTATGATATGAGAAACAGAACCCATTGGAAAGCCTCAAGAATTTCCTGAGATCATTTTATCAGGGTGAGAGTCCACTTGATTCAGAGACTAGTTCCCATCTTAAGGATTTAAGGTGCAGATATCCCAATTCCCAGCATGGCCTCAAAGGAGGTGGGAGCAGTGGTCATTGACTTTGCTCCAGACATACCCTCCAGTCTCCCCATCTCTTTGCATGACCACCTTCCCCATGCTTTTGGACTCTGGACAGGATTCTGGAACTTAGCAGCAGGTTAAGTCAGAACCCTTTAGCTGAGCAACATCCACCATCTTAGAAACATCAACTCATCCCTTTTGCTCACATCTCAATTTGAGGCAGTGATCAGGGCTCTTTGCCTTTGAATGTGGCGTTTTCCCCTTGAACCTGGCCCATTACCTGCATGTGGGATTGCCTGAGCCTTTCGGTGCATCTCCAAGACCCTTGTTTTCATCCTCCCGGGCTAACTCCACTCTCCACTCTCATCACTCATCTTTTATCCCGCAACTGAAGCCCAACTACAATATACAAAGTTCTAATACTCCTCTCTCTCTCTCTCTCTCTCTCTCTCTCTCTCTCTCTCTCTCTCTCTCTCTCTCTCTCTCTCTCTCTCTCTTTCTCTCTCCTGCCTACCCCCCATACAACCCCATCCTTTCAACTCTCTCTAAAAATCAATGGGAAAAATATCCTCAGGTGAGGATTAATAAAACAAAAGAAAATGGAAGGGATTAAGAAGCACAAATTTGCCGAAACTGGTTTGGCTCTGTGAATACAGTGTCAGCCTGTGGACTGAAAGGTCCCAGGTTTGATTCCTGTCAAGGGCATGTACTTTGGTTGCAAGCACATCCTCAGTAGGGGGTATATAGGAGGCAGCTGATCGATGTTTCTAACTCTCTATCCCTCTTCCTTCCTCTCTGTAAAAAATCAGTGAAATGTATTTTTTAAAAAAAGAAGCACAAATTTGTAGTTACAAAATACTCATGGGAATGTACGGTACAGCATAGAGATTATAGTCAATAATATTGTAATACCTATGTATGATGTCAGATGGGTATTAGATTTATCAGGGTGACCACTTTGTAAGTTATATAAATGTCAAATCACTGGATTGTATTCCTGAAACTAAGGTAATCTTGTACATGTACATCAACTGTGTTGGAAAATAAAAAAATAATAATTGACATTTTAAAAATAACAAGTTTCTGAACTTGGAAGGAAAAAAAGAGAGTTTTGTTTATCTCCACTTTTTATTTACTCCCAACACAAGGAGATGGAAATATTGATTAAAACGTAGTAATAATATGAGTGGTGCGGATGATGAGGATACCATGATAATGATGATAGTGTTTGTTATAATGATGATGATGAAGGTAATGATGATGATGGTAATGTGATGATGATGATGATGGTGATGATGGTGATGGTGACATTGATGATGGTGGTGAGGGTGAGGATAGTGATGATGATGCCAGTGATGATGATATCATGGTAACAATGATAGTGATGGAGATGGAGATAATTATGATGAGGCCAATGATGACAATGTGGTGGTAATGATGATGATGGTGATAATGGTAACACTGATGATAGTAGTGAAGGTGATGATGATGATAATAATGTTGATGATGGTGATTTTGATGCTGCTGCTGATGATGTTGTAATAATGATGATAGTGTTAATGATTATGATGATGATGAAGGTGATGAAAATGATCATGACATTGATGATTCATTGACGGTAATATGTTGGTGATGATGTCATGATGATGATGATTGTGTTGGAGATGAAGCTGATGACAATGATCAGGACAATGATGCTCATGGTAATGATGGTAATGATGATGATGATGGTAATTGTGATGGTGATGGTAATGATAGTGATGGTGATAGTGATGATGCCAGTTGATTGGTGATGGTGATGATGATTACAACGGTGATGTTGATTATGGAGAGGATGGTGATGATGGTGATTATGGGTTGATGATGATTTTGGTGATTAGTGATGATGATAATCATTGTGATGGTGATAAAAAACAGTTATGGTAATGATGGTTATAACAATGATGACAATGATGGGGTTAATAGTGGTGGTGATGGTGGAGATGATCATGGTGATGGTCATGTTAACGATGGTGATGGTGATGATGGAGATAGTTATGGTAATGATGATGATGATGATGATGATTATAGTGGTGATGCTGGTAATGGTGATGCTCATAATGGCTGTAGTGATGTTGATGATGATAATGATGTGATGATGACCATGAAGGTCATGATGATGATGATGATGATGATGATCATGTCTGAAAATTACTCTCTCTAAAACAGAAAATTCCCCAAATTGGCAGAAACCCCAAATTGTACACTTGCCAGTAGTGTGTGAAATGCTATTTGCTCCATCCTCTCTCCAGCAGTTAATATCAAAATAAAAACAAACAGCAACAACAAACAAACATGCATTTATTGTCCTACAGTTCACAATCTCATTTCCTTGGCACCACAGCCAGGAAGCACCATCATTGCTACCAGCGTCACAGGAAAGCAAGACAGGCTGACAGACAGGCTGACCCCTGCATAAGGCCACACAGGAGTGTGTGGATTCCAAGTGCTGATGTTGTGGGAGGAGCTAGGTAATAAGCACCAGGTGAAGAGAAAGGAACCTGCAGAATCCAGACACTGTCCTGGGTTGGCATTCTTAGCTTTCACCCCATGGGCTAGATGTAAATATTAGTTCACTGATCTAGTTACTCAACCACGTTTACCGGAGTCTCTGCACTTGGAGCTCAAGGCACAGAGCAACTCACACCAGGGAATGTAGGTGTGATAAAGACAACATGTGCAGCCGGGACCGGTTTGGCTCAATGGATAGAGCGTCGGCTTGGGGACTGAAAGGTCCCGGGTTCGATTCCGGTCAAAGGCATGTACCTTGGTTGCGGGCATATCCCCAGTGGGGGGTGTGCAAGAGGCAGCTGATCGATGACTCTCTCTCATCGATGTTTCTAACTCTCTATCTCTCTCCCTTCCTCTCTGTATAAAATCAATAAAATATATTAAAAAAAAAAAAAAAAAGACAACATGTGCAATACAGTGTAGGAGCAAGCATGAGAAAGAGTGGAGTTATGAACATAATCTCTTCATGTGGACATAGCATTGGGTCACTGATATGGGAGATAAGAGCAGCCAAACATTGAGGAGAGGGAAATGCAAGGGCAGGGGTCATGTTGGAGGGGTCGCCCATGAGGAATAGGCCCAGCCACTGTCATCCCCTCCAGCACTAACTTCCACTTCCTTTAGGTTCTCAGCACAGAGTTTACACAGCTTGTGGCTCCCGCTTTCAGTACCTTCTTTGCCCTCACAACCTTGCCTCTGTGGTTATGGCATCATTTCTGAGGGATGCGTGTACTCCATTTTCAGTTTATCCCTGGGGGGACCTTCTCTCGCTGTACCACGCATGACACACCAACACACCTAACACCCCCAGGACCAATCCAGACAGGCCCATGGCAATGAGATTCTCCACTGTATAATCTGGGATGTGGGGTCCTGGTGACAATGGGAGAAAGTGGTCATGGAGGATATGGTGAGTCACACTCAAATCAACACCCACATCAGATGTGTAGCCGCCGCGCCCTCCTCCCCCACCTCCATGGAACTTCCCAGTCGCCAAGGTAAACATGTCTGATTACTTACCACTTGTGTAATTTGGGGTCTGCGTTGATGGGATGATAGTAACAGGATCCCCTGAGAATCAGAAAACCAGAGACGGTGAGGAGCTGGAAGCCTTTCAGCCCAGCATGGACTCAGAACCTACCTTATTGTATATCCCTACTCACAAACATGTTATAGCTACATTCACGATGATGCCTTGAACAACTATAGTTGAAGGGAAAACCCTAGAGTCTCTGATTTCCTCTCACTTAGACTTAGGTTAGGTCTTTAAAAAAAAAGTGGGGGGGGGCAGATGGGTCACACCCTATGCCACAGGCTTATAGTGAACATGTTTATAATCTGTTGAAGTTCAGCTTTTTCTTGGTCTCTTATCTGTCTGTAGCAATAGCCCAAGCTAAACTTGATCTCCCAAACATTGAAGTTCATCTTTCAAGGAAGGCCCTGGATCCATGGATGAGAGTTGGGTGTCCAGGGGTTCCTGAGGGTCAGAAATAAACCAGTCTTTGTCCAACCTCAGCCAGTTCACCTTAATCCAGAGTCTGCAGTGATTTTGTTTTGTTATTTCATGTATTCATTCATTCTCCAAATAGTTATGGACTTTGTAGAAATAGATTTATGTACGGATGTATATACATTTATATGTGCCATGTATAATATATATGCAATTACATGAGATATGTTATATATTTATGTGTAAATATATAAATAATATGTATAATGGACATATATGCATACAATATATAGTACATGTATTATATAAAATATATAAATGGTTGGAGAATTGGCTCACAAGCCAAAGGGTTAGGGTGTTCTCTGGTTAGAGTGTATGCAGGAGGCAATCAATCTATGTGTCTCTATCACATCCATGTATGTCTCTCTCCCTCTCCCTCCATTTTATTTTCTCTAAAAAGCAATGTGCTTCTCTCACATCGATGTTTCTCTACGTCTTTCCCTCTCTCTTTCACTCTCTCTAAAAGATCAATGAAAAATATCCTTGGGTGAGGATTAACTAAAAACAAAAAAGAAGGAGAAGGAGGAAGAAGTAGGAAAAGAACAAGAGGAACAAGAAAAAAAAGTGTTAGAAGAGGAAAAACAAAGAAAGACCTCTTTGTCTTTTCTGATGCTGATGCATTCCACACATGGGAATGAAAGCCCAATGCGGGACAGTGGTGCCTGGACTCAGAGGAGGGCAAAGGAGGGAAAGACGGACAGATGTGGTTCATTGGAGGAGGTGATCCAGACATGGGGATGGGTGGAATGGGGTGGGAAGGCAGGAAGACACCATGGACAGCTCCTCACCTTCCACCTTGAGCTCCAGTGGGTTACTGGGACTTGACAACTGGATGGGGGTGCTGTTGAGTGACCCGTAGCATCTGTAAGTGCCCCAGTGGTCCAGGGTCACGGGATTCATGGGGAAGTTTGCCTGAAACACCCCATCTTGGTACTGGGACCTGAGGTGCAGAGGGGGACCGACGTCTCCCTCCTTGAACAGGAGGAACGTGTCAAACAAACTCGCAGTCTGACACCGCAGGGTCACATTCTCTCCTGGGGCCATGGTGGGGCCTGGGTGGGCTGACAGAGTGGGCAACGTGTCCTGAGGGAATAAGGCTGGGAGAGACACATCCACAGTGTTAGTGCAAACTCCTTCCTCGTTTCCCCCTTCCCTTGACCTCTTGAGCAGAGATGCCACTCAGAGCTTCTACACAAGGGTGTTTCATTGCTCCTTCTGTTCCCATTGTTCTAAGATCTTCCCATCCCTCATCCCATCCCTTCTTGTCTGTGCTCACTGCCCTCCATTGCCAACAGGATGCCAAGTCTGTGTGTGAGCTGGAGATGGGCGCCTCACCTGTCACCAAGATGTCCACCGGGTCACTGGGGGCCGACCACTCAGAGGAGAGGTTGTATCCACTGTAGCATCGGTACCGGCCACCGTGGGAGACACTCACCGGGCCCAGGGAGAAGTCTACCTGAGAGAGCCCAGCCTGGGGCTGCCGGCCAAGTTCCTGGGGGAGGTCATGTTCCCCCATTTTGAAGAGAGCGAATCTGTCATGGTTGACATCAGACTGACATTGTAGGATCAGGGTATCTCCAGGGGCCACCACGGGGCCTGGCAGGACAGAGAGGGATGGTTTCCTGGAAACACCTGGAAGGGGGGGGGCAGCTGGTCAAATTTGTAAGAGGATTAGGCTCTCTTCCACTCCCCTCTGCCCTGGTTTTCTCGCTGGAAGAGGAAGGAGTTTGCACTAACACCGTGGGTGTGTCTCTCCCAGCCTTACTCCCTGGCCTCTATTCAAGGGTGTTTCATTGCTCCTTCTGTTCCCATTGTTCTAAGATCTTCCCATCCCTTATCTCATCCCTTTGGGATAAGGGATGTACCCCAGGCCGGTACAGATGCTACAGTGGATACAACCTCTCCTCTGGGGGGTCAACCCCCAGTGACCCTGGGTGGACATCCTGGTGACAGGTAAGACGCCTGCCCCCAGCTCACATGCAGACTTGGCATCCTGTTGGCAATGGAAGGTGGCGAGCACAGACAAGAAGGGATGGTTGTGAGGGGTGGGAAGATCTTAAAACTATGGGAACAGAAGGAGCAATGAAACACCCTTGAGTAGAGGCCAGGGAGTAAGGCTGGGAGAGACACATTTGTAAGAGGGTTAGGCTCTCTTCACTCCCCTCTGCCCTGGTTTTCTCGATCCCTGAGTGTTCTCGCTCCAACCTCATCCAACCCTGTGCTCCCCCTGGGACCAGACTCCTCCCCGCCTGCCCGGAGACCCAGGGGATTCCGGGGCAATGCCGAGACTTTCTCACCCAAGATCAGAAGCTCCACGAGGCTGCTTGGGGAAGACCACACGTAAGGAGAACCCGAGAAGACACCGTAGCACCTGTATGCCCACCAGTGAGTGGGTCTCACGGGACCCACGGTAAGGAGGGCCTGGGACCACCCGTCGTCTCGGCGCTGTGAGTACAGATGGTGGTGGCCACCTCGCCCTTTGTCACTCAGATAAAACCAGTCAAACCCCTGCCAGGAGCCACACTGCAGGGTCACGCTCCCTTCAGAGGTCACGACAGGGCTTGGCAAGGCGGAGAGAGTGGGTGGGTTGAACATTCCTGGAAAAAGAACAAGAGGGAAGGAACTGTTCAAAGAGGAGAGGGTGCTGCCCTACCCTTTTTGGATCTTCAGATAGTGCAGAGGGCTGAGGACTGAAGGGTCATGGGTTTGATGCCGGTCAAGGGCACATGCCTGTGTTGCGGGCTCCATCCCCAGTAGGGGGTGTGCAGGAGGCAGCCAATCCATGATTCTCTTTCATCATTGATGTTTCGATCTCTCTCTCCCTTCCTCTCTGAAATTAAAGAAAGTATATTTAAAAAGAAAAAAGGGAAGCGGGTGCTTGAGGACATTATACTAAGTGACATGGGCTAGTGACAGAAGGACAGATGCTGCAATGTCCCACCACTATGATGCATCCAAAGAGTGAAGCATGCCCTTGCCGGTTTTGCTCAGTGGATAGAGCGTCGGCCTGCAGACTGAAGGGTCCTGAGTTTGATTCCGGTCAAGGGCAGATGCCAGAGTTGTGGGCTCAATCCCCAGTAGGGGACATGCAGGAGGAGGCAGCCCTACAATGATTCCCTCTCATCTTAGATGTTTAAAAAAAAAAAAAAAAAAAAAGATATATTTCTTTAGCTGAAACTGGTTTGGCTCAGTGGATAGAGCGTTGGCCTGTGGACTGAAGGGTCTCAGGCTCGATTCTGGTCAAGGGCATGTATATTGGTTGCCAGCACATCCCCAGTAGGGGGTGTACAGGAGGCAGCTGATCAATGATTCTCTCTCATCGATGTTTCTTACTCTCTATTCTCTCCCTTCCTCTCTGAAAAAAAAAATCAATAAAATATATTTATTGATTTCGGAGAGGAAGGGAGAAGGGGAGGGGGGGGGAGTGTAACATCAATGATGAGAGAGAGTCATTGATTGGCTGCCTCCTACATACCCCCACTGGGGATTGAGCCCACAACCTAGGCATGTGTCCCTGGCTGGAGTCAAACCCAGGATGCTTCAGTCCGCAGGCTAGGGCTCTGCCCACTGAGCCAAGCCAGCCAGTTAGGGCTCATAATTGATCTCTCTCTCTCTCTCTCTCTCTCTCTCTCTCTCTCTCTCTCTCTCTCTCTCTCTCTCCCCGTTCTCTCCCTCTCCCTTCCTCTCTGACATCAATACAAATATTTTTCTACAAAAACACAGATGCTCTCCCATGCCATTTCCTTCCCCATCCTTCCCACACAGGTACATATCTCCTAAATGGCAAGGGACTCCACCCACAATACTTGCAACCAGCTCATCCCAGGCTGAACCCCCTGAACCCCGAGGCCCCTTTTCTCTGACCCCCTTCCCCCTCCCCCCTCCCCCACAGTGAGCCATAACCGCCCAGCCTGGGCTCCTTCTATGTCCTTCCCTGTCCCACCATCCTCAGTGCGTGGCCAGTCAATGTCCACTTGCTTTTCCAAAACAACAAACAACAACAGCCGAAGGAGAGGACCCACGCCCCCACGCCCCCACAGGGTCCCCAAGTTTTGTCCGTGGGAAGAGTGGTCCCTTCCCCTGTGCCCCGCGGAGGCATCTGCTCACCGGTGACCACCAGGTCCAGCGGCTCGCTGGGGGCGGACGAGGCTCTCCAACGGTTATACGTGCAGTGGTACCTCCCCGCGAAGCCGTGGGTCACGCGTGGGATGGGGAACTCAGCCGTGTCCCTGGGTCCCTGGGGGAGCACGGTTCTCAGGGGCTGTGGGGCCCGCTCCTGATGCAGGTGGTACTGGTCCGCCTTCCGAGACCCGCGGCACCAGATGCTCACGGGACTCCCCACGGTCACCATGGCACTCGGTGATGCCCAGATGGTAGGTTTAGGCAGAGCCTCTAGGAGGGAGTCGGAGGTTGCGGTCCCCTTAGGCTCCGTGCCTCGGTTTCCCCCCAGTGACCAGCCTCCAGGGTCCTCACGCACGTGCCCTGTTCCTCAGCTCAGAATGCCACTCCTCCCTCCATCCCCCAGATGCCCCCGGGAGGGGTCCCACATTGTCCCCGGGGGAGGAGGCAGGACCCGGGATGCCAAGGGGATGGGCTCACCTCTATTCCAGTGGACCTTCCTGCCCAGACACAGCCCTGGAAAAGAGATTCCGGTAAAACAGCTGATTCCTGAGCAGAAGCCCTTTCCCCGAGCCTTCCAGCTCATGAGACCTTTTTTTAAATTATTTCTTTATTGATTAAGGTATCACATATTTGTCCTCAACCCCCCATTCCAATCCCTCTCTTCCCCCCACTCATACTCCCACCCCCCTATTGTCCTTACCCACTGGTTAGGCTCATATGTGTGCACTCAAGTCCTTATTGATCTCTCCCTTTTATCTACACCCTCCCTCTGAGGTCTAACAGTCTGACCCATGGCTCCTTATCTCTGGGTCTGTTCTTGTTCATCAGTCTATGTTGTTCACCATTTCCCCTAGATGAGTGAGATCATGTCCTACTGGAACTATACTTATAAGAACCAAAAATGAGACGAGCAATGATCGTTATGCTGAAAGGCATATGAATCAGTCTGTAGTGAGCTTCTTTCTGGCCCACCTGTTCTTTTGAGACCCAATTTCAATGTCAAACAGTTTCTTATGTGTACATGTCAGCCATGATATTTCAGTATCATGGGACCTTTTTTTTTTTTTTTAAATACTCACCGAGGATATTTCTCCATTGATTTTCAGAGGGAGTGGAAGAGAGAGGGAAAGACACAGAGAAGCATCGATGTGAGAAACACATTGATGGGTTGCCTCTTGCAGGAGCCCTGACCAGGGTCTGGGCCTGGGAGGAGCCTGCAACTGAGGTACTAGAATCGAACCCTGGATCCTTCCATCCACAGGCCAACGCTCTATCCACTGAACCAACTGGCTAGGGCCAGTTCATGGGATCTAAGATCTGGAAACAGCCTAAGTGCCCATCAGCAGATGAGTGCATTAAAAAACTATGGTACATCTACACAATGGAATACTAGGCCACTATAAAAAAAAAATTTTTTTTAAGGAACTTTTACCATTTGCAGCAGCATAGATGGAACTGGAGAGCATCATGCTAAGCGAAATAAGCCAGTCGGAGAAAGATACCTTGTTTCCCTGAAAATAAGACATCCTCTGAAAATAAGACCTACTTACAGGTTTCCTTCTGAGTGAAATATAAGGCATCCCCCCAAAATAAGGTCCCCCTAGGCTAAACATGAGAGATTTGGTCCACTGATTCTGAAAGAAATGGAGTCACAAGAAATTCACCAGGAAATTCAGGAATTGGATTGTTATGATGATGTTCCAGAAGATGATGACAAGATTGTCATTGAATAAATGAGTAAATTCTTGATACTGTAGGATTCACAGTTTGTCTGGTTTGTGTTGACAACTACCGTACTACCGTACCGGATACAGGTAATAAATTTCCTTTATTTTCATTTAACAATAAATGGGTACCGTATTCTTCTTCATGGAAAAATAAGACATCCCCTGAAAATAAGACCTAGCGCATCTTTGGGAGCAAATATTAATATAAGACACTGTCTTATTTTTGAGGAAACAGGGTAAATATCACATGACCTCACTCATTTATGGAACATAATGAACAGCATAAACTGATGAACAAAAATAGATCCAGAGACAGAGAAACATCGATCAGACCATTAAACCTTGGAGGGAAGGTAGGGGAGGGAGGGGGCAAAGGGGGGCAGATCAACCAAAGGACTTGTATGCATGCATATGAGCCTAACCAGTGGACATGGACACCAGGGGTGGTGAGGGCATGAGGAAGAAGGAATGAGGGGAATGGGGGAATAAGGACACATATGTAACTTTGTAATCAATAAAGAAATTTAAAAAAAAATAATAATAAGTGCTAGCCAGTTTGGCTCAGTGGACAGAGCGTTGGCCTGTGAACTCAAGGGTCCCAGGTTTAATTCCAGCCAAGGGCATATACCTTGGTTGCGGGCACATCCCCAGTGGGTGGTGTGCAGGAGGTAGTTGATCGATGTTTCTAACTCTCTGTCCCTCTCCCTTCCTCTCTGTAAAAAAAAGTCAATAAAATACATTTAAATAATAATAATGAAATTAAATATATATATATATATATATATATATATATATATATATATGTGTGTGTGTGTGTGTGTGTGTGTGTGTGTGTGTGTATGTATATATGTGTGTGTGTGTGTGTGTGTGTGTATATATCAACCAAGGATATTTTTTCATTGATTTCTAGAGGGAGTGGGAGAGAGAGGGAAAGACAGAGAAGTATCGATGTAAGAGAAACACATCAATGGGTTGCCTCCTGCAGGAGCCCTGACCAAGGTTTGGCTCTGGGGAGGAGCCTGCAACCGAGGTCCATGCCCTTGACCGGAATCAAACCGGGGACCCTTCCGTCCACAGGCCAATGCTCTATCCACTGAGCCAACAGGCCAGGGCCAGTTCATGGGATCTTTCAAGAGATGGCTTCCTCCCCGGGGGTGTTTACCCCTGCCCTCCCCAGAACTCACCGAGGCAGAGAGAGGCCGTGGAGACGATGGTCATGACACCGCCTCCCACTGGACAAGGCTGTGCGGAGAGACAGAACCAGGCAGCCTGGCACAGCAGACAGACCCACAGCCTGCGGGCAGAGGGCGGTGTTCCCATGCCTGGACTCGGAGGAAGGCAAGCAGCTCCCTCCCCATGCGCGTGTGTCCCATGTATGGAGGGCAGATCCGTGGTGCCCTGGGCCCTCGCTGGGAGCTTGAGCCTGACAGCTGTGACCTCTGCCTGGAGGGGTCCCGGGTTCCGGGTTCCGCTCCTGAGTCAGCCTCGTGGGTGTGCTAGCGGAGGGGAGACACCACTTCCCGTTTCTCAGGAACTCCCTAGATGGGAATGCCTTTCTCTCTGTCCGCGGCCGTCTAGCCGATGTCTCTTGGAATCCTGCAATGTCAGCCAGTCACGCGAATGTCCATCCGTGAACCAGACAGACAGGGTCAGAGTGCTGACCAAGGCCGGGTCATCCGAAGGCAGGTGGTCTGTCGCTTATTGCTCGTTAAAAAAAAAAAAAAAAAAAAAAAAAAAAAAAGAGAGGAATACACAAAAATATACACATGCATGACAGACAGCCTTGGCCAATTGCTCAGTGGGTAGAGCAACAGCCTGCGGACTGGAGGGTCTCAGGTTCGATTCCGGTCAAGGGCATGTACCTTGGTTGCGGGCACATCCCCAGTGGGGGGAAGGAGGGGTGCGAGAGGCAGCTGATTGTTCTAGCTCTCTATCCCTCTCCCTTCCTCTCTGTAAAAAAATCAATAAAATATATATTTTTTAAAAATCAACAAACGACAAGTGCTGGAGAGGATGCGGAGAAAAAGGAACCCTCGTGCACTGCAGTGCTGGTGGGAATGCAGCCTGTTGCAACCACTGTGGAGAACAGTATGGAGCTTCCTCAAAGAGTTGAAAATGGAACTCCCATTTGACCCAGTAATCCCACCTCTAGGAATATATCCCAAGAAACTAGAAACACCAATCAGAAAGGATATAGGACCTTACGGTCCGCAGGCCGACCCTCTGTCCACTGAGCCAAACCAATCAGGGCAGAAAATAAATGTTTGTTGTTAAAAAAATAAAATAAGCCAAAACAGGTTTGGCACAGCGGTAGAGCGTGGGTCTGCGGACTGAAAGGTCCCAGGTTCGATTCCGGTCAAGGGCATGTACATTGGTTGTGGGCACATCCCCGGTAGGGGGTGTGCAAGAGGCAGCTGGTTGATGTTTCTCTCTCATCGACGTTTCTGGCTCTCTATCTCTCTCCCTTCCTCTCTGTAAGAAAAATCAATAAAATATATTTTAATAAATAAATAATTAAAATTGGGAGCTATCACTACAGAATTATTTTTTAAAAAATAAAATAAAGCAGAAACCGGTTTGGCTCAGTGGATAGGGCGTCGGCCTGTGGACTGAAAGGTCCCGGGGTTCGATTCCGGTCAAGGGCATGTACATTGGTTGCGGGCACATCCCCGGTCAGGGATGGGCAAGAGGCAGCTGGTCGATATTTCTCTCTCATTGACGTTTCTAACTCTCTATCCCTCTCAATTCCTCTCTGTGTAAAATCAATAAAAATATATATTAAAATAAATAAAATAAAAAAATAAAAAATAAAATAAATATAAAGCCATGACCGAGGACACAATGTGAGGCCAGTGAGGAGACACTAACCCCCAGCTCGCAGCAAGTGCGTGCAGAGGATGTATTGATACAATACAACCCTGTAACCAGATGCTCCACCCAGCGGTGACAAGAGCCACCCTGGGGAGAGCTGCAGGGGAGACCTGTGCGCGCCCTATCAGGTCGAAGCGCTTCCGATTGTGGCCACGACGGCGGCCGGGGAGGAAGTGGGGAGGCCACCGCTGGTGTCACACGTGGCAGGAAGGGCCGCAATCCAGCCCGCCAGATTGCATAATGAGTCAGCGCTCTCTCGAGGAACCCACCTTGAAGACACCCGACCACAAAGACAAAGTTACATCAGCCCAGCGTTTGTGGCCAGAGCTCCGTGTTTAAGACAGCCTGGGGGAGGGGGGCATCGGAGGAATGGCAGCGTGGGGGGCTCCCCGCGCCCCTCCCCTGGAAGTCACAGCCGTCGGCACAGCCGTATCTCCACAGCGGGGTCCCCGCTCAGCGCGCACGCATCTCAAGGTGGGAGAGTGGGCCCGGCAGGTGTGGCTCCGTGGTTGAGAGACGTGGACCGGTGAACCAAGAGGTCACGGCGTGCTTCCAGGTCAGGGCACAGGCCCGGGTTGCAGGTTTGATCCCCAGTGGGGGGCGTGCAGGAGGCAGGCGGTCAATGATTCTCTCTCATCATAGATGTTTCTCTCTTTCTTTCTTTTTTTAAATATATTTTATTGATTTTGTACAGAGAGGAAGGGAGAGAGATAGAGAGTTAGAAACATCGATGAGAGAGAGTCATCGATCAGCTGCCTCAACCCGCAACCAAAGTACATGCCCTTGACCGGAATCGAACCCGAGACCTTTCATCGATGAGAGAGAAATATCAATCAGCTGCCTCCTATCTATTGAGCCAAACCGGTTTCGGGACTCTCTCTCTCTCTCTCTCTCTCTCTCTCTCTCTCTCCCCCCCCCCCCACCTTCCTCTCTTAAAATCAATAAAAATATTTTTCTAATT